TTACCTCAGATCTCAGATCGTTAAAGACTTGTCACACAACATGCTAGTGTTAGTATTAGTATTAGTAATATTTTTGGATCACAAGACCGGAATTCAAAAAAATTTTATGTTTAATTTCCTTTCGGAGAAAACAAATAAAATCCATTGATTAATCTTTGCAAAGGATTTTTTTTTTTTTTTTAATCAAAAAAAAAAATTTAATTTTTTTTTTTTAACAATCGAGATTTTTAAATATAAAATAACTAAATTAACACAAAAAAAAGATCAGAATAAAAGATCCCTTTTTTTTAATTAGGAAAAAAAGCTTAGTTGATTTTTTTAACAATCGAAATTCGTAAATAACTTTGATTCACACGAGAGTTCTTCTTTGCAAAGGATCTTTTATTAAATTTATTAAATTCGTGGACAACTTCCCTTTGTATATATAATTTTTTTTTAAATCAATAATTTTTTGCTCGACGCAACAAATAAATAAAATATTGATATAATAATAATATGATTGGCTGATGTTGATGATATAGATACTTCGTATTTGAATGTAACGTGCAAAGCCAAATCTTACATAGAACGTCATTTCAGCACTACGTGCCTCGGCCCTCGAATCCGAATGCAACGTAAAAACAACCAATACACCGTTTTTTGTCCGCGAGTGGGGGTAGCGGATCTATTTATGTGTTTTTGTTGTAATTTATTAGACTACTTGATTAATGTCTCATCTGGCCATGAAATATTAAGATAGGATGCTGAGATGCTTCGCTAACTTTGATGCTCCGAACGAATATATATGTGTGTGATTGAGTTGTGTGATATTGTATTGTTATAAAGTCATAATATCATCGCGCTATAATACTAATCTGTATATCACGAAACTCACTGTTAGATTTTCGTTTAAAAACTCGTTTTTCTTTGCGGGAAATTGAATAGCGCGTGATAAACAATTATAATTTGGTTCTTATCAGAATTAATAATTAAATGAATTATTTGAAAAATCGAAAAATCAAATTACATTGTTTAAAGAACAACTTTAACATAAAAAAAATTCATGATTCATCGATATTCGACAACAAAAGAATTTTAGTATTCTTTTTTTTTTTTTTTTTCCTGCTTTGACACTTAAAATTTCAAAGTTAAAACTTACAAAAACCTGTTTTGTGTACCATGTAAAAGTTGTTCTACGTATCAATATTGACCCGCATGTGTGTGTTTCAAACTCAGGCACTCAAGCGCGTTCATTTTATTTTATTACGCGTAGTTAACTTCAAAGTTAAAATCGAAACAAAAACTCTACATATTAATATTGACATGCACTGTGCATGTGTTTCAAACTCAAACGCTAAAGACAATTTCAATCTTTTTCATTTTATGAAAACTAATAATTATCAAAGAATATTATTAGTGATAGTTATTATAATTCCAATAAGAAAATATACGAAATTTTTTAATTCGATAATTTCCATAGAAATTAATTATTGGAACTACGGAATGCTTTTTAAAAAAACTTTCGTGAATAAAAAAAAATACAAGTTGAACATTTTTTCGACGGCTTCACGATTTTACGTTAGTTTCTTTGTTTTTTAAAAATGTTAATATTAATATTTTATATTTTATATTTGATATCAAGTATTTAACATTAGACACTAATGTTAATATTAGGATAAATTTTTTATTAAAATATAATTTTTTTGAGAAGCATGAGATCAAAAAACAAGACAGTATGATATTAGTGGTGCTAGTAGTAGTAGCAGTAGTAACAATAATAGTAATTTACAACGAATGCACAAATCACATCCATTAGCATATCATACAAGTGGAATATTAAACGATGAGATGGTTAAATTAAATGATCTTGATAATAATTTAATTGATTGCTAATACTAATATGATCATTTGTCAATTAATTATATGGTAAGTAAGTTGTTGTGATTTATATTTTATTATTATTATTATTTCTTGGAATAAAAATATAAAGCAATACGGTAAAAGTGGAAAAGTAAAGTAATTCAAAAGTTGGTTGCATGTAATTTAAATAATAAATTCACATTAAACCATTTTACAGCTACCAGGAAGCAACCATAGGGCATAAAAAGCATGTCAATAGAAAGTTCGGATTTTATTTAATATGCTACCAAAATAATTCAAAAAAAAAATGAAGAGACACTTCAGAGTTAGAAGAGAGGTGTTCTCAAGCGTTTGAAAGAAATTTTATGGATTTGATTTGATTTGATTTTTGTTGTTAAAATTTTTACAGTGAACATATATAAACTATATAACTCTTTACAATAAATGCCATATCAATGACAGTATTTCACAGATGTGATCTTATAATTATTATATGATGGATTGATACTTAAACAATAATAAAAAAAAGAGTGATGATTTGATGATGATTTGATAAAATAAATCATTATATAATAAATGGTAGAGAAGAAAGCTATAATGATCAATTTCAACACCAACGAGAGCCAAAATATCTGGAACCGATTACAGAAAGACCGCGTAACGATTTACAAATAAAGAATAATGAATATATATAAAGAAATTTCGAATTTTAACACGATAATTTTGATGGTTTCGGTAAAAATCCTCTGCAGCCAATACTAACACGCGGGTGTCACATTGGGCCAACGTGTAATGATAATGAAACCAATAAGCATGCATACTTATTGACTGCTACAAAATTTACGCATGGTCCAGTAATAGAAAAGTAGTTGTTCAACATACTCATAACGCGATGATTATAAGGTTTGATCATTAGTTATTACCAATGGCATAGGTTACTATTATTGTTGAACAGGACTTTTAAAAAGGAAAAAGTTAAAAACAAGTTGCCAAAGTACCATTTTTTAAATAAAATTTCTGCTTTGCAATCTTTTATATTATAATATATGCCACAGACTTATTCTATAATGCTCCTTTTCTTCGAGGGACCTTTTAAAAAATTACTAGCAATGGTAATAACAATAAAGGAACAGTAGGTCATTTTTTTAAAGATATTCAACAAGTTATAAGTTATTTAAATAAGGATGAGACTATGCCACAATATGGCGAGAAAGAGAAAATTAGGATAAAAAATGTAAAAACTAAAGATGGAACCGCAATTAGTCACAATTCGTTTTCATATGTCGTAACTTGCAATTGATTCACTTAAATTCAATAATAATGGTAATAATTGCGTTGCTGCTGATGAGGAACTTGATCGATCAATCAATCCGAGTTAAAAAGGGGTTTTAAAGTTTATCACTGTGCAAGATACAAATCTTCAACCAAATTACAATAATGATGCATTTACTTGATGAAAATTTCAATAACAATAATGTTAGCGGTAATAGTAATAAGAATAAATCTCCAATTAATTATATTTCAAAACAATTAGCCATATTAAAAAGTTATTCAACATTACCAATTATTTTTGCATTAAGAAAGATTTTTTGATTTGGAAGCTGGATTATCACTTAATCTAATTGTCAAAGGCAAAAATTATAGCACCATGGCATGATACAACCGGAAATACGAAATGGAATGGGCAAAGATATTATAGAAAAGCTAATGAGTATGATGATAATATTGAGCTGATTGGCAAAGCAAAATTCATAAAAGATGATTTTGATTTGCATCCTTCTTAGAATCCATTCCAACATCATTATCAACACCACCATCAAAAAACCCTGCTATAGCAAATTAATATGGAATTGGAAGGCCAACTTTCAAGAATCTTGAATTAAACATTTATTTATACCTATAACACATGATTTTTTGCTGCACCAGAGTATCAATATATAACTTAAAATCCTTAACCAACCTGTATTATCTTGTTATTATTATTACAATAATTTTATTAACAGCTCCTATTAATTTTGCAAAAGAATCTGTGATTTCATTAAGGTATAATGTCAATTTTATGAAGCATAGTTCCTGGACCTATGTCAAATTTTCATTCTCTAAAATAATAACACGTTTAACATCCCTTAGCATCTCCCAACTCAAATAATTAATAACAATAAGAAAATCCCAAAGTTTCAAATCATGTGTTATATATGATTGGTGCTCAAAGAAGACATATATCAAGCCAATTAAGTGATGAAACCTGTTTGTTTGTTAATTGACCCAGTCAACAACCAGGATTAGTTATATTTATTACAAAAAATCAATTATATGAATCTAATTTATTAATGTTGAATTTCAACTTGAAGACGCATGTTTTTGTGAGATACAAAATTCCTACATCCTGAAGATGGCAAACTATTGATATATCAGTTCGATCAATCACTGAACAATGTCATTTGACGATGGTGATTATTTTATGTGAATTTTTCACTACAGCTTAATTATTCAGGCCAATAAAATTTCTATTAAAATGTGATTGACACAAATTATTACCAATTATACACAACGTCCTTTTTATTTCACGTGATTTTAAGTTCTCAAATATTTTCTGTAATTTGAAATAAATAAATAATAATGACAAATAGTAAGTCTTTTTTTTTTGTTAATTAATCTTAAAGGTTAAACTTAAATAATAATAACTATTATTATCATTAAAGATTTAGAAGATAGTGAAATCACAATAGGAGAAGTTGAAGGAAAACTTGGTAAGTTGTTGGTTGGGTGAACAACAATTGTATTAAAATTTTAAAATTTTCTTTTTTCATAACTATTATGATATATAATTGTTGTTAATAGTCCATATTAAGGATTCAAATGATCAAAATATTATTAAATACATAAATGCAGAGGTAACAACAACTATCTTACTTGTTTGCTTGTATAATAGACAAAATAATAGTCTTAATATTAATAGTATATTATGATTTATATAGGGGCTTGCATTTCCAAGGTTATATATTCCATCAAATATTAAATATCCACATGAAACAAAATTTGGTAAACGTAAATTTTTATCTGCATCAACAAGTTATGAAATGATGCCACATGCAAATTTCAACCTGTTTAGTTTAATTGAGAGATCAAAAACTTGGATTGAGTGGGTAGTTATTTATATATTATATATGGATTTACAAATAATTACATATTATAATACATATAATTTACATACATATAAATTTACGCATTCATCCATACAAACAATAGAGAAAAGAAGAATCAAATCAGTACTTTAAATCTTGGAAATATTTTACCGAGTTTTATATCAATTCTATTATTCAATAAAGATGTCGATCATTATATCAAATCATTACGAGAAAGGATAAATAATTCTGCAAAATATATATTTGCATGGCATCCACGTTGTTCGCTCTTTGCTATTGCTCATAAAGCTGATGCAATTTATTTATATGATTTACGTGTTGAGGGTATATTTATTTAATGGATCATAGTGATATTTTATTTATTTATTGGATATTGGATATATTATAATAATATTCTACTTGTTACACACATTAATTAATACAAATTTATTCCCTCATCTGCTCATACAAATAAATAGCCTGGTTTCCGGAAGTATTGGAAACTGAATTACAAAGAGAAATAACTTGTATGGCATGGAAACCATTTGGTAGTAATTTATTAGCTGTTGGATGCCGGTATGTTTGACATTAATTATATTAATTGTAATGTTTATAATAAATAATCACTATAATTAAAATTATATTGCAATTAATATGATGATTTTATGTTTTCTTTCTTCCTCTAATATAAATGTTGAAGACGTGGAATATGTCTATGGGAACTTTCATTGAATCAAAATATAAATTCTGGTGACACATCAACATTAAGTGCATGGATGCATTATCTTCATTACCCTGGCCATGAAAATATAGTAACATTGGCTTGGCATCCAAATGAAAAATATCCTAAATTATATCAAACAATTAAATGTTTATTTAACATATATAAATATATTTATAATCACATATCTATAATTAAATCCTTGATTCATTCAACACTTTATTAGCAACAGGATCATTAGATGGATCAATTATTTTGTGGAATACAACATTAGAAATTGGCACACCAATAATTAATAATTGCAACGTTAATCTTCTTGTTTGGAGTCCACTGGGAAATATTCTTTTTGCCACTTACTTGTAAGCTGTTGACTAATTGTATATAATCTATGTATATATATCTAAATATGTGTAATGATAATGATCGTGACAATGATAATATATTTTAGAGGCGGTTTAATAGAAGTGTGGGAAACTCAACGATGGACTTCGAAAAAATTCACTGTGCCTTTTAATAAAAATGATTCTATCAAGGTATGTGGATAATGATGATAATCAACCCTCTCTCTCTCTTCTTGTACACACATAAAAAATGGTTTTACTAATTAATAATAATTAATAATAATGATAAATAGTCAGCTTGTTGGACAAAAGATGGACATGCTGTATTTCTTATATTAGAAAATGATTATTGTGTTCGTTCAGTTACCATTTCACCAAATCTAGATTTTGAATGGTTAGTTGAAACCAACATCGCAGATATTCCATCATGGTAATATATTTATTTCTTCTATACATAGTGCATGCGCACACACACGTGTAATTCATTATATATATAATTTCTCTCCCTCCCACATGTACCAAAGTTCTGAGGATAGTGTTATAGACTCGTTAGCAATAGATCCAACAGGAGAAAGATTAGTAGCAAATATTGATAATAACAAATACATTATCGTATTCAAAGCTAATCGACCAACACTTGTAACACGGATTAATAAACTTTTGACATTTCAAGATTTAATCAGAGGCCCTTCATGGTATTTAAATCAAGAAGATGCAATTTTTCAAGCAAGACCTGATCCAGTACCAATCTCCATCAATTTCGCAAATCAATTTAAAAGAGGTGCTTTACTAAGTGTGGTAAATATATGTTCGGATTTTGGTCTTGGGTTGGGATTTTAATATGTAATAATAATAGTTATTGTTTTTTTCAAAAAAAAAAAAAAATAGATATGGGAAGATGGGCAAATTTCATTTTTACCATTTATTTTCAATTCAGAAAAAAGTATATGATATATATTATAATCATTAGCATTATTACTATTTGTTATTATTGGCGTGTGTAGGCAGTATAGACTTTTTATTTTTTTCTTTCCTTTAGATTAAAATATTTATAAACGATTTTTATTTCTTATCAGTCAATCAATCTACATTTCTACTGATGAGCTGACTGGCGAATTATAAATAATATATATGTATAGTTTGAATTGGTACAATCATTAAAAATATACAACAAACAGATCATTGTGCTCTGGTTTATTACAAACATTTGTATTTTGAAATAAATGTGTAAATTTCATGGTATATAAATTTCTGTTTGTGGAAATCATCATATTTAGAAAATTTGAATTTTTTATAACAGATCCAAATATTGAGGGTATTGTCATTTTAGAAAGATATTCCGAGTCATAACTGTAGTAATATGTTTAAACCTAAAGATAATTATCATGAGGCTGGTAAATATTCACTAACTCCTATTTTAATACCGAGCTTTACATACTTTTCAATAGTGCATAGATAATAACAATGGAGGTTTATTTAATCGGTGAAAGAAAGTGCCAAAACATATGAGGCATACTGGGAGTACCAGGCAAAGTGAACAGAATAATTCGTGTGGTTCGAAGCAATGAAATTTCAATGCCACAATTGTATTAACAGTTTTATGATGTGTTATCATTTCTTTGTTTCATGCTTTCAATAGCCCCATCTACACAAGATAATTGGGGCGATTAATTTAAAGGCATAAATTAGGTAGGTACTGGGCTGTTTTCAAAGATTCCTTTTCTTCCCTTATGTCTTGACTTTGATTTTTATCAATCTATTCATCAGCTTTCTCTGTGACTGGTCCAATCAGGTTCTTTATGCAATATTTTTCAGCAGGGGAAGGAGGATCCAAGTTTAACTGGAATTCAGAAAAATCCTCTTGTCATGATCCATTCATTTTACCCAAATCAATGTAATGAGCAGTAGCATTGACGCTGCAATCTTTTCAGTAATTCTTTATCTTCTTCCTCTTAACGAGCATTGTAATGCAAACCATTTCGAAAACGTTGACAGGTAACACACAAATCAATCCTTGGACTCATAATTTGAATCTCTGGTGTCAATTGATGTCACAACTTCATGAAGGCATAATACTTTAAAAATTTCAACTTTGCTATCTTCTTCCAGACTAACCAGAAAATCCCTGTGCACTGATCTACACAACTCATTTCTGTTGGTAAAAAGATAACTGATTAGGTTATTCTAACGAATATCCAAAAACAATTATGAGTATCCAAAATAATCACGAAATAAATTAAATTGATTTTTTCGAATGTTTGTAAAAAATTTGATTTTCGGTTAGGAACGCTATTTCCTTGAATTCAGATACCATACTGACAGATTCTCACCTAGATAGAATGCCAAGGAAAATTCGAATGCAAAAAATTACACGGTTAATATTAATATCAAAACTTTATTTTTCGATAAATTCACACATGCCGTGGACGTTAATTGCAAAATATAGTTGTGGAATGTGAACAACAAGAATAGATTGATACAGTGGAAAAAACAAATGAATTGATAGAGGAGAATTTAAACTAACTCAACAAACGAGTGGTTGTCATCTTGATTCAAGTTTACAGTAGCATTTGTGGTAGCAGCTTGGAATTGCAATTTATTGGATGCAATATTGGGAATCACCTGTCCGGATAAACGTTGGTTTATTAATACACATGTAAACTCGATAAGTCGGTCACTTATTTATATTATCGAGTACTTCAAACATTGATTGCTGCGCCCGACTTATCGAGTTTGCATGTCATTTGTATATTGTTCCACCAAGATTAAATTTTAATTTTAAAAAAATCTTTTTTATTTTTATATTTTTTTTTAAAAAAAAATGAGTTTTCCAAATCGTGAGCCAGTTCCAAAAGAAATTATATATATGCAAATGGTCCAAGAGTCATGTTTATTTAAAGTTGCATTAAGTGGAGTAGCAGGTAATAAATTAATTAACAATAATTGATGTTGACTGACTATATTAATATTTTTAAACAAATTATAAAAAAGGTTTTGGATTGGGCGGATTATTTGGTACATTTATGTCATCCTTTGAAATGTCATCTTCTGTTGACTCATCTATCTATGATAAACCAATGAAACAACAACTTAAAGCAACTGCTAAAGATATGCTCAATAAATCATATTCAATGGCCAAAAATTTTGCTTTAGTTGGTGCCATATATTCTGGCACTGAATGTGTTATAGAGGGTGTAAGTATTATAATTTAGTTATACATGAGTATTTTTTCTTTAATCAATTACTGATTTTTTTTTTAACTTTATAGTATAGAGCTAAAAATGATTTGTATAATAGTACAGCTGCTGGTTGTATAACAGGTGGCATATTGGCTGCAAAAGCAGGTCCTCAGGCTGTTTTATTTGGTTGTGCAGGGTTTGCTGCTTTTTCAACTGCAATTGATTATTATATGAGAAGAGAATAAAAATCATATATACACATATATTATATTATAGACAATAAAGTAATAAATTATGTAAATATAGAAAAAAAATTATATAATATTTTCATTAATTCATCATTCAATCATTGTAAAACTAATGTCATGTTTATAAATATATATTTTATAAATTAAATAAAAAAATCAAAATAATCAAATGATTAATATAAAAATACACAAACACAATAAATTAAAAGTATCTTTTTGAAATATCAAAATGAATTTGAAACCACACACATATGGATAATAATCTTTATCAACCAAATTATGGAATTCCTCAATATTTTCAACTTTACTTGACTCATTACCCAATGACCCTCCATATTTTCCATATTGCGTATTTAGTATTTCTCTTATTTTCTTTTCCATGTTTGATTTTGAATAATAATAATGTTGTTATTATTACTAAGGGGTTTTAATTTTTTTTGTAAGGAATCAAAGAAATAATACCTTTATTATAACTGACATGAAATCAGGTGGTAATCCATAATGTAATACAGATTCAACATAAACTCTTAATATTTTCAAGTGAACCCATGATACAAATACTTCTCCAAAATTCATAGTTGCCAATCTTAATAATGATGTCTAACAATATATGTATTATAATTTAATTTTTTGTAAAATTAATTAACATAATTAATAAATTTATATTGAAGGGGAGAATTTACCCATAATTCTTTTTCTGTAGCTCCAACTTCCCAAAATTCTTTATGATGATTAGCCATCTCATCTTCATTATATTTGAAATCTCATATGATAAACTTTTCTTCTCTACATTTATTTGCAAACTCTTCACTAACCCTTTTGTAAACAATCCATAATCACTATCTTCTGCAATTTTTCTACATAATATTTATAAATGTAAAAAATTTAATTGGTCATATAATATATATTTTATAGAATAACGTATTTTAAAACATAATATGTTCTTGACTTACTGAGAAGATTGCAGTACAATCATTTGAGTAATAGTTTCATATTTAGAGTACCATTCTTTATAAAGATTTCTAAATGATAATAATTTAATATAAAAAGTTTTTGATTTAACACATCATTAAATGCTACCAACATCCACAAAAGTATTACTTTCCAAGTATTCAGAATCTAAAACAAAATGTTCTTTTTTAACAAATAACAAACTACAAAATTTCCTCTAATAATTTAATTATTGAAATAAATTTAATTGATTAAAAATATATCTTTTATATTTTATATATTTAATCAACCAAACAATATAAATACATGTGTTTTTTCATTCCAGTACTTGTAAATTTTCTTTAATTTGATTATAGTGAGCAGATTTTGCTTTAATCAGATCCTCAATTGTTGTTATTTCCTAAAATAATATATAATAAAACAATAGTAATAACACTATTATTAATATTTATACAAACTACACATAAATATACAACATAGACTAACTTCTTTCAATTTTTCAGGTATTGCTGAAAGTGATTTATCAGCTCTGGTATTCCATTGAAAAGTTTTTAAATATTGATTGACCAATATTTTCTACAAAAATAAAGTAGGATAAATATAAAATATAATAGATTTGTATTGTTTTTCCTCTCTCCCAACGCCACCAACACTCAAAATCAAAATATATACTTACTATCATTTACCATTAAATTTGCTTCGACTTGATCAGTGTCTCCTTTCAATAGACTGCAAAGAATATCAACAATTCTCATTGTTACAGATTCAAATGATTGATCATTTTTGACAAATTCATCGGAAATCACCGCTAAATTATCAAATGTACTTATCTGGTAATTAATTACATATATATATTCACCCAATCCAATGATCTGCGATAGGATATACCTTGATTTTTGTGTCTCAAATGTTAAGGATCAACCTACAAAATTCCATTAATATTAACCAACCATCAGGACAAGAAATTTAATTTCATCCAATAAACCAATATAAATTAACATATTAATATATAGAAAGTTGCATTTAAATACAATCAAGTTTTCTGAACTTCATATAAACTTCATCCATTTACTAGAAATCTGGTTGATCATTTATTTCCATCTAATAAATTTTATTCATTTGTTAGAAATCAGAAACATCATGACTGGTCATTCATTTCCGCTGATATTTGTTAACTGGCCAATTGTGTTTTTTCATTCCAGTACTTGTAAATTTTCTTTAATTTGATTATAGTGAGCAGATTTTGCTTTAATCAGATCCTCAATTGTTGTTATTTCCTAAAATAATATATAATAAAACAATAGTAATAACACTATTATTAATATTTATACAAACTACACATAAATATACAACATAGACTAACTTCTTTCAATTTTTCAGGTATTGCTGAAAGTGATTTATCAGCTCTGGTATTCCATTGAAAAGTTTTTAAATATTGATTGACCAATATTTTCTACAAAAATAAAGTAGGATAAATATAAAATATAATAGATTTGTATTGTTTTTCCTCTCTCCCAACGCCACCAACACTCAAAATCAAAATATATACTTACTATCATTTACCATTAAATTTGCTTCGACTTGATCAGTGTCTCCTTTCAATAGACTGCAAAGAATATCAACAATTCTCATTGTTACAGATTCAAATGATTGATCATTTTTGACAAATTCATCGGAAATCACCGCTAAATTATCAAATGTACTTATCTGGTAATTAATTACATATATATATTCACCCAATCCAATGATCTGCGATAGGATATACCTTGATTTTTGTGTCTCAAATGTTAAGGATCAACCTACAAAATTCCATTAATATTAACCAACCATCAGGACAAGAAATTTAATTTCATCCAATAAACCAATATAAATTAACATATTAATATATAGAAAGTTGCATTTAAATACAATCAAGTTTTCTGAACTTCATATAAACTTCATCCATTTACTAGAAATCTGGTTGATCATTTATTTCCATCTAATAAATTTTATTCATTTGTTAGAAATCAGAAACATCATGACTGGTCATTCATTTCCGCTGATATTTGTTAACTGGCCAATGAGTTTGTTAGAAATCAGGAACATCATGACTAGAGCTTATTTATGAACTGGTTCGAACCAACTTGAATCATAGTCAAAAAAATATTTTGATTTAAATATTCAATGATTCAATTTAAACCATCAATGATTTGAATGATTTAAACCATCAGCAATTTGAACAATTCATAACATTAACGATTTGAATGATTTGAATCAATTATATAAATTTAAATTTAAAACTTCAATGCATTTTTTTATTTAAATTCATAATAAAAATTTCAACTTGAAAATTATTATGTGAAAGATTACATACATGTAGAGTTATTATGTTTAAACGTTTTCTCTCTTTTGTTGTTGGAACAAACTTTACATTTAGCAAACTCATAATGTTCACCTATTATAATGATCTCTAGCTCTTTCCACATTCTAGTTGATTGTGCATCTTTTTTTTTGTGGCTGGTTAGAACTAATTAAAGCAGGCAAAGATTATGGGTACTGCTATTATAGTTTCCGATGTGGTAATTGAATCTGAATCCAATTGTATAGAAGGTCTGGGAAGTGAAAGGGCAGAAATAAAAATTGTCATCATAAAATCATTATTGTTTAAATCATTCATGAAATTAAATTCATGTAACAAATGGTTGAATTTCACAAAATTACTGATTCAAATCCAAATATTTGAATTGACCAGTAAGCTCTAATCATGACCGGCCATTCATTTCCTGCGATCTTTCAGAAATACCAAGTCCCAATTATTTATGAATTTTACCCAATGGAATTTTGAAAAAACATTACTTCTTTTTTGTTTTTGTTTTGAAAAATGGATAAACAGCAATTTGAAGAACAATGCGCCAATTTAATTAGATTCTTGTTTAAATCTTCAAACAAAAAACTCAAGAGCATTGCTTTTGACATGAATAAGAACAAATATTCAGCTCATTTAAATGTCTAGCAAGTTTCAAAAGCTTAGAAATTAAGAATGATGTAAATAGCTAATGTTTTATTTTTTTTGAAACATTTAAAATAAAAGCCTGTTTGCTTAATATTATAATTTATATAAGGAAAATATTATATACAGAAAGGTTCTTTTTATGGAATATACAGAACCCTACCAAAAATAGCAATTCATTCTATAAAAAAGGAAACTAAATTGTAGCTCAAAATTTTTGTAAAACCAATGTGACATTTATCACAGACGTGATGATTAAATTTGTGGGCTGGGGGTGGCAGGAATTACACAGTGTTTACCAACTCTAAGAATTAATCCTTATTTGTCACATAGGTTCTGTATATTTCATAAAAAGAACCTTTCTGTATATAATATTACCCTTTATATAAATATATATAATAATAGCTTTTTATGTAGAAATAGTTGAAGGCCAAACGAAAATGAAATTGCAAGAATAGATGCCTGTAACGAAGATCAAAATTACAACAACGATAATGACATTAATATAATTAATGATTATGATGACAACAACGATAATGACAATAATAATAATTAATTATCAAAGAAATAAAAATATGATTAGAGGTTGGCACCGCGCAAAAATTCTTTAACCGTTAAAATTAAGAGTTAACCGGTTAACCGGTTAATTTAGTCACGTGGAATTTTTTAACTGGTAAATTTTGATCGTTCTTTACTTACAAAATAATCACGCGCCTGTTGAATTTTATTATTATACACTTAATAGATGCTAAATGATTACAGTCAAAAGCTCGCCACAGCGGATTCATGATTCCAGCCAAAAAATCCGTTATTATTATTATTATTATGACAAGAAATCCGCAGCGGCAAAATTGGTAATAATACAAAGCTCTCTCTCTATACCGAACCCTCTGTCCATTATATGCATTTTTCTGCTTTCGTTCATTATAGGGAGAAATTAATAATTGAATCGGAGACGGGCGACAAAAGGGAAATTCGTTATAGAGAAATTTACTTAGTGTTCGTTATAGAGAGGTTTAGTATAGTGCAATTAATAAACTAAATACAAAAATAAATAAATGAATAAATGAACAATACATAAGGAAATGAAAATTATTTGTTGAAATAGGATGTAATATTTGGTTGTATTATCCAATAATTTCACTTTTTTCAATGGTTTAAATGCTTTAAATTCTTTACAATCTATTTCTAAATCACTTTGTTGAAGAAAATTAAAAGCTATTTCAAAGGAAATTACGGCATCTTTCGTTGAAACTAGACATAGTGTTACTCTCAACAACTATTATATTATTGACATCATTTTGAAATCTCTTCGACTATATTTCTTGAATTTTAATTTCATTATTAGATATTTCATTTTCAAAGGGAGAATTGCAGTTTTCCTCTATCAATTTTGGTAATTTGGACATTTATATGTCACGTGAATCTGCTGTAATATAGAAAGACCCCATCAAAAATCTGTGGAACAAATTTATTATTAGTAGTAGAATCCGTTATCATTATGACAAACGTCTTAATTAATATTAATAAGAGGACAATACTTAAATCTATTGTAACAAGAAATGTGATGTGGCGAGGTCCGCTGTGACGAGGTTTGACTGTAATATATAAAAAAAATTAATAAATGGTGGTTAACCGGTTAAAAAAATATCTTAACCGGTTAAACGGTTAACAGTGCCAACCCCTAATCTTGGTTGCAGAGCCATCCTTACCCTAGAAGTAGGATCGTTGCAGATGACTTTTCATCTAACATGGCAGCCTTCTCTGGTCTGGGAAGATTAGTGAAAGCGTCGTTGATGATCGGTGCAGTCCCAGTAAACTCCAGGGCAACGCGCCCCCCTGGAATTTAATTGCATCGTTGTATCATTGGGGTGAGCAGTCAGATTAGCCTTGTGTACACGAGGAACGAGTGAATGACTGTAAAGTGTTCAAGGTGGCATATGTGCTTCAACGCCTGCTAATTTCCGATAATCAAACATAACATATCGAAATGTTTCATATTTGAATTGTTTCTTTTTCAATGGTGTGCTACCTTGACATCTTGTAATCATATTAATAACAATATTAGTAACAATTACGCAAAGAAAAATACCAATCGTTTGTTCACCATCTTATTACCCAGCGAGATCTACTCCGCGTTTTGATTTCCAATTATATATATTTAAAAGACACCACATTATATCAACACAAATAAAAAAAGGTATCTCTGTCATTAACACGTTTCTTTTTAGAACCAATCGTGCCAAATAACATCACTCGCGTTTTGTCATCTGTCAAAAAATAAATTGTTTTTCCAAAAAAAAAAAAAAATCAATTCGCGTCTGTCCCCCCAAAAAAAACATAAATAATTAATTTGTTATTTGATCGACAAACGTACACATTCATTTTAAAAAAATGTCAAAATCAGTGACAAAAAGAAGAAAACGCGAAGACAACTTCATTGAAACGAGACCTGAGTAAGTGTTATAAGAATGGTGGTGGTTATCGCCACCACTCGTCACTCATCACTCTAGTTATTAATAAAAAGAATGATGATACTGCAACTTGTTATATTCTATATAGTTCTTATCATTTATTTTAATTAATCAATTTAATAATAATATCTAGAAAACATTCATTCATTTATTTGGAACAAAAGAAAATATTCGAAGAATTATTGGAAAATTCAAAACATGAAGAATTAGTCCTTAAATGTTTTTGTTATTTGTTAAAACAAGATCTCTTGCTCTACGAAAAAAAAGAACAGAATGACATGCTTAAATTAATTTTATTTGAAATAGACAAAGAATTACAGCTGGATAATTCAAGTTTCTCAGATAAATATCTTAAAACATTTAAAAAGGTACATTCAATCCTGATAAATCCATTAACAAATCTGGTAAGTATAATCTTAAATAAATAAAGACATTAGCAAAGATTTTTTGCTAGAGGAAGTAAAATTAAAAAGATATCTCTATTATACAAATATAACGAACTTTACTCAACTATTTTCTGTTTACTTTTTGCAAACATTTAACTAATTAATAATTAATTAGTTAAATGAATAGAAAGTAACAAATATTTGTTAACTAAATTTAGAGATAGAAAGTTTTCAGACTTTTTTTAGTAGAAAACTTCTAATTTTGTTAAAATTTTTTAATTGTGTGTTTTTAGTTCCAAAAAGGTATTATTAACAGCATTTGGGTTACGATTGATGGTTACAAAAAAGTATTAAGAATTTTAGACAAAATAAATTTCAAGGACAATGATTACAGCAATGATGAATCACAAGACACTGATTCTCTAAATAGTAGCAGTAGTTACGAATGTTATGAAGATAGTAACAATAGTAGCAAAGAAGATGAAGATGATATGCAGAAGAGAAAAAACTTGTTAAGAAATCTGAAGAATACATGTACTCATATAAATGTTTGTAAATGTAACTATTATTTTCATTTTTGGTAACATATATAAAAATTCCACCATTTAAAAAATATTAACATTTTTTAGAAAATTGTTGAGTGGAAAATTGATGGTTATGATGTGTTAAATGAAATCTTTCAAAATATTAAAAAAGATTCCATTGAGAATTTTTCACATGACTGTCCATTAATGTCATTGAATGTAGATTATAATATCAACTGGACTATTAATAGTAAAACCAGACTAATCAAAAAGTTTTATAGTTCCATTAAGAGAAATTCCATCTATGCTACCTTTACACCATCATTAGGCAATAATATATGTGAAAAACGTCTAAAATTTTTGTTGTAGGTATCTTCATATTATTATTAGTCTATATTATTAATTGTTTAATATAATTATAAATTACTAGAAATCTGAGATGGGATCTCAACCAAGTAAAAAATATACCAGCATCATATTACAACCAGTGTTGAAATTTCGTTGTGTAACCAGTACAAATTTAGAAACTATCTCCAAAATTAAAAACTTGATTGGTGTGTAATGTTACACCCCCGCATTCCCCGCACCGAATTTTCAACACTGATTACAACGAGGGTACCTATGAACATGAAATTGGTTCATTTTTTGATGTTCTGTTAAATTTTAATGATGTTCAAGTAGCTTGGTAATTAAAATTTCATTGTATAAATGATACCAAATAAACCAACAATTAGTTAAGCAATTGTTTATATACAGGAATGAAGAAGAGAGCGAAGCATCAAAGGAAAGGGTGATCTCCACTACAAATGATAGAGTATATGGTCATAAGCCTGATTTTCAGGTTTTATATTATCTTCAGTTTGAGACATATGAATTAGCATTTTGTGAAATTAGTGGAGTTCCTGAGCTTGTTGACACAAAAAAATTTAATGCTGACAAGAACAAACTATGTAGATTTGGATCAGATGCAAAGGCTAGAATGCTAAAAAAAATTTATGACATAGATAGTGGCTATTTCTACAAAAATCTTCAAAATTTGCTCAAAATTCCAATCATGTTGATACAAGTTTATCGTGAGTATTTAGCTGATAAGGATATCTAATTTCATATGTATACATGAATATTGACTTTTAACTTGAATAGGTTCAACACTGTATATATATCAATATACACAAGAAGCAATGGTCGATCTTAGCAGCAACAATATTTATTCACCAATCGGAAGCTTTATTTTACTTGATGAAATTGAATATTTTTTTGAAAAGCAAACAGAGTTGTATCAAATTGATTTCATCACTAAGCTATTGAAAGTAAGAGAATCAGTTAAAAAAACTTTGTCAGAGATTAAATTACACTTTAATGAAGCAACTTTACAAGTAACTAAACCACCTTGGCAAATAGCAAGAATTAATTACAATGTAGTACTAACTACACCAAATTAATAGATATAAAGAAAATCAAAAACCAATAAAATTGATAAATATAAAGCCACTTACAATAAAAATTAATTAACAAAAAATTGCTTTACTAAAAATAAAAAAAACCACTTGACAGACTATTAATTGAATGCTTTGAAATAAAATTGCAACCAGATTGATAATTGGTTAACACGAAACTATTGGTTTGCTATTGTGAGCATGTAAATTCCAGCTACACTGACTCAACATGCCCAATAAATATGTATAAATAATATAAAGTCATATAATATATATATATATACTACCCAGGTTTTCCAAATACTCTTGAGGTGTCCCATGACTGTTCCCCTCGACCAAAAGTTGATACTCTCTAGGTGTCCCCTGACTGTTCTCCTAGACCCAATAAAATACCTCTAAGTGTCCCCTGACTGTTCTCCTAGACTAAAGAAAGGAATTAAAAGAAAATATTTACAACTATGCTACTTGAGGCGTCCCACCAAGCAACACAGTAAAGTTAAAGGGGTTCCTGACTAATAATTAAAGGTTGGCCAAACCTTTACTCATTAGAAAGGATTATAAATATAATCATACTAATATTATAATAATTAATAATAGCATATGATAAGCAAATTAATGATGATGATAAAATTAATTACAATTATTAATTTAGAATTCATAGATAGTCATCCCTCATCTCTTGAGTGCATATATGGCAATAATAATAATAAAGATGTTAGCTAACCAACATCAAGTGATATTACAGGTTTGCACCTATAATGTTCTGTATAGGTTGATGCATCTTTAATTACATTTTCAAGAAATACTTTCAACATGTCACTTGTTTCTTCATATAACTCCCCATAATGTGCTAATCTTTTGATGGAGGGATCTGATAATCCTTTAATGTTGTCACTAAGTATTTTTCAATGTCATTTAGCACCTCTCCTTCCAATTCCTTCCCTTTTGATTATTTATATTATTCTGTTGTAAGATTTTATGAAAATTTAATAAATTACCAAACAGAAAAGTTTGTTAAATGCCTGCCTCTTCTACAACATATTATCAAAAATTTGATAAGATGCATCATCACTATAAATATTATTTATTCAATATCATTAATATTTATATTATTGTCAATATCATTATCACCATGAATATTATTTTCAATAATATTATTAATATTTCCATTATCATCAATATCATAAAAATTTTCATTATCATTAAATACCATATGGCAATGGCTATATTCCATTACAAAAAAGTTAAAATTAAATTCAAGTTAATTTTAAAGAAAAAATGATGATGCATTCTTTAAGAAAACAAAAACATCTATCTAAATTAACAAAAATATAAAATCAATAGATTAATAAAAAATTTTGCTTAGAGCTTACATCATCATTGGATACCATGATCTTTCAATTTATTTTTTAATGATTTTTTAATTTGTTAATTGTTTTTTAATTTATCATTTATTCTTGAACATTTTTTATTCATTAATCTTGTTATAAAGAAACTAATTTTAAATTCTATTATTGGGAAGTCCAAATTAATTAAACAAAACAATCAGTATTGCTTATTTGAAGATAATATATTATATTTAACCCAGTCTCTTTATCAATAAAGTGCTCAAGATCCTTCCATAGACTTTCAATAAAAATCAAACCCACCAGTGATAAAAAAATTCAATTTTTTTGATTTATATCATAGAGTTGGTTATTGTATGTTTCCAATTAACAATATGCAGGGAGGCTCATTGGTAAAAATTGTTGTTTTTTTTATTAATCATCTTTTGATAAAATAAACTATTGCAAAAATTTATTTATTGTTTAATGAAATAGAGTTACTAGTTTGCTTTTTCTTATTTTGATTATGGATGGTAGGTTAATTTAAATCTAGACCATAACTATTCTTCATGGAGTCAATTAATCAAAATTCTTTGATTTTTTTTTTTTTGTAAGTTACTCAATAACCATGTTTATTATAGACTCATCCAAATTTAATTTATTCCATTCACCCCATCCATCATTACAGGATCAATCTTTCAATTTTAAAAAAGTGATAAATATATATATATGTATGAAAGTAATAATTATAGTGGTCCTGCTGGATATCAAAAGCAATTGATTTTTTAGAGAAAAGTTGCAATTGTGGTCGCTCAGCAAGAATGAATTTGCAGAATTATATGAATCCTTTCCAAATTTGAAAAAGACATATTTTTAATAGCCCAGCTTAAAACTGTAGATGGTGGATCAATAAGCACTAACAGATGCCTTAAAAAAGAAAACTAGATCTAACAAAAGGACTTTCTATCATTGATATCACAACACACCACTTTGTCAAAAAAAGTAGGAATTGGTAGGACTTACTTTGAAAAGATCAGAAATCGGACCTGATGAACAATGGCCTTCTAGCAAGAGTTCATGGCAATTTAAAGAGAATGCCTCAATGAAAAACTAAGATGATGATTGATAAAAATGTTGCAGCAGTTGTAAATAATTTTTTAGAAAATTATGCCAAGTTCATTCATGATTGCCAAGCCTAGGAAGAAGTGTTTGTAGAATAATAACCTAATCAGTTATATTTTTACCAGCCAAAATGAGTTATAAATGAGTATACAGAGATTTACTGGGCTGGTCTGGAAGAAGATAACAAATTGAAACATAATGTATTCAGAAAGTATGACATCAATCAACACCAGAGATTCAAATTATGAGCCCAAGGACTGGTTTGCATTATAATCCTCATCAGGAGGAAGAAGCCAAAGATTTACTGAAAAGGATTAAAGAACATCTGTCCAAAGCAAAATTATAAAGAAGCTGTTATAATAAGAACACCAAATTAATTAAAGAGCAGAGAAAACTGGTTGTTCAAAATTATTCCCAAGGTAAAACACAGTATTTCAGTGTTGATACTACTGCTCATTATAGTTATGAATAGCCCAAAATGCTCATTTACCTCATACTGATCAACAAGTAAATAAGATCTATCATATTAGCCCACGTAAAGTCCATTTATTTGGTATTCAAAATGAGAACAAATAAATTAATTGTGTTGTACCGCATAATATGTAATAATTTATTATATTGATCGACACAATATAGCCCAAATTTGGTAAAATACCATTACGGGACAAATTGATTTTAAACACGTTTAAAAAATAAAGTATATAAGATAAAATCGGTGAAAACAAATTTCTTTTCTCTCTAAAAAAAAATAAAGATGATAACAACTAAAACGTCTTTAACATTAACAAGTTTAATAGTATTATCATTGGTAATAATCTTCAATACGGTATATGATCCAATATCAGCTTCAATAGGGTTCTCATTACTTGGATGTGCAATAACATGGAGTCTTGTACCGATATTAAAAGATAGCTTCATAAAGGCCAATTTATTTGGCAATGATTTAAATAAACTTAATAAACCTATAATGTACGTATGTATACATATATAGAATATATTTTTTTCAATGATTGCTTGAATTTATACATAATTAACACGTAAAAAGATACAATTATTATTATTTATAGACCTGAAAGCATGGGAGTTGTATGTGCAACTGTTTATTTAATTTGTTTATTTTTATTTATTCCATTTCCATTCATGGAATGGTTTTCAGAAGATAAAGGTAAATCTTTTATAAGGTCAGAGGAATTCTCTCTCGTTCCAACATTTCCTCACCACAAGGTAATATTTATTTATATGCACACTATTTGTTTATATAATATATAACTCTAGTTAGAAATTAATTTTGTTGTTATTGAAAATGTATTAGTAGTTGGGAGAATTTCTATCAGCAATGTTGTCATTACAATCAATGATTTTCTTGGGCTTTGCAGATGATGTATTTTCTATTAGATGGAGATATAAATTGTTATTACCAGGAATAGCATCTATACCATTATTAATGGTTTATTATGTTAATTTTGGTGAAACTCATATTATCATGCCAATACCTCTAAGATTTTTATTTGGTCGATATGTTGATTTAGGTAATATTATTCTTTATAGTGAATGATTAATATTAATATTATTTAATAATTATAATGATCATGATGGCAATAAAAATAACATTATTTAAATATTCTAAAAAAATTCTTTTACATAGGAGTATTTTATTATTTATATATGAGTTTGATGTCAGTTTTTTGTACCAATTCAATTAATATATTGGCAGGTATAAATGGAGTGGAAGTAGGACAATCTTTGATTATTGCTATATCAATTGTGATCAATGATTTATTATTTATAAATGACAAAGGGAATTTAAATCAATTAAGTATTGAGGCTCATTTATTCTCTTTATATTTTATGTTACCTTTTATTGGAGTTTCTATTGGTTTATTGGTTCATAATTGGTAAGATTTTATATACAAATTTATGTGTATCTATTTATATATTATAATATCTTTAACATTGAAAAATACATTTGTTTATAGGTACCCATCAAAAGTTTTTGTTGGAGATACTTTTTGTTATTTTGCAGGAATGTCATTTGCAGTAGTGGGGATATTGGGGCATTTTAGTAAAACATTATTATTATTTTTTATACCACAAATATTAAATTTTTTATATTCTTTGCCACAATTATTTAAAATATTAGAGTGTCCAAGACATCGTATGCCAAAGTAAGTATATTTTTATAAACTATTATATATAAGATTATTATCATTATATATTATCAAATTTATTTATCAATCAATATTATTATGATTATTGTGTGATAGATTTAATCCTTTAACAAGACAATTAGAATTTTCACGAATTAGAATACAAAAACCACTATCATTTCATACATCTTTAACAATAAAACTATTTTCATATTTAAAAATAATTAAAATAACTAATCAACTAACAAATAAAACCACCACTACTCTTTCCATATCTTCTAATATAGACAACAATGATAATATAGATAATGATTATATAGAAATCAATAATTTAACATTAATTAATTTATTATTAATAAAATTAGGGCCAATGAATGAACTAAATTTAACAATTTTAGTTCTTTTAATACAAATATTATTTAATTCTTTTGGATTTTTTATTAGATATAAGTTAGTTCATTTTTTTTACGAAGTTCAATAACATCTATTTATTGTTTATTTCGTTTAAATAAAATAATTTGATTTGCAAAATAAATTTTCATGATAAAAAACTTATTTTCACAACATTGGCTGCTGCATTGAATTTTACCAAATTTTAGTTTCTTTTTATTGCATATCAATGATTGATCAGATAATCAAGTTCACATTATCTTCATAAGAATTTAAGATTAATGTGCAAACTCTAAAGGAAAAATGAAATACCAACTAACAAAATTTCTCTAGGATGATCAATGTATTTTCAGCAAAAGCCTTAATGCTTCACTGATATTGATGTCTTCGATCATTCATTCCTGTAAAAATAGTGGATAGTTTTTTTGGCTACTATAGTACTAATTAAGTATGGACTTGCAAAGAAAAAAATCATGTAAATATAAACAAATGCTAGCATCGTAAAAGTTTGATTAAAAAGAAAGTTCTATTCCAAAAAAAAAAAACCTTTAAATTTTCTATTTATATTATATGTACATTATTGTTAATAAATAATGTATTCATATTAACAAGTAAATCTTGTTACGCTAAAACAGAAAGATACAAATAGAAAGTCATCATTGTTGTCGCTGCCACCATATCCTTCCACAATTAAAATGGCAGCGGAAAGGTCAGTAAGTCTCCTTTATAAACAGATAAGGTCTCTCTCCATAAGTGTTTGCGTGCAAAAAAATGTTCCTTATGTTACGGGCAGCATTAATATCTCGATTCCAATGTATCAGACAGAGACTCTGACAGACCATAATTTTCGATGCTTATCAAGCTACTCAACACACAAAGAACAGATTGAGGAAGTACAGAACTCGTCACCTTGCAGTCTCTAGAAAGCTCTCGATGAAATTACCTGGAACATGCCTGTGTGATGTTGATTTACCATCGCCAAATGCAACTATCGTATCATTACCATTACTATTTGTTATTCTTTTGCACAGATATCAAAGGCCTCCTGTTTATTAATAAAAGATTTCCATCGCAAACAATGCCAGCAACATTCACCATAAAAATCAAGGCAAAACAGAACGTAAGTGAGACAAGTGCCATATTCATAGACATTAGTAAGTTTTGTATTAGTATTAGGTGAAAGGTATGTAAATAATAATGTTCAAATGTTATTCTTGTTTGATAGCAAATTAAATTAACAAAGTATAACTCATCTTGAATAACAGCCTGAAGATATTATTGTTTTCAAATCACAGTTCACGTTTTTTGCAAGCATGGGCAAACCCTGCTAAGTTCCAGTACTCCTTCTCTAGAAAATTAGTATGTTTTTCCATAATTTTCCGTATATCATGTACGGAATATGTACGGAATTGTTCATTAAAAGAGCACTTTTCCATACATATTTGCCCTGAAAAACCATACTAATTTTTTATAGGGCTTCTAGGAACAACTCGCAACTTTTTCACTTGGAACTCACTGTTACAAACGGACCTATCCTTCCAGGATCCAGCCCAAATAATTTGCGTCCATTTAAATCAATATTCGATCCTTCTTCATCAGTATCCTCTTTATTATCTTCTGCAGACTATCGGTTTGTCGATTTTGGATGTTGACTTTACGCCAGGTTTTTCTTTCAGCTCTGGATCTTTGAATGGTTGTTAATCCTACTTTTTCAGTTGATTTGTACATGTAATGTAAATGTACTTTTTGTTGTAAAAAGTATTCAGGCAGTAGTGTGAAGAGACAAGGATCATGTTCCCGGTTATGCTTGATAAAGGTAGAAAGGATCTTGCGGAGACCTGGAAGATATGACTACCAAGATGCTTCTACGGATGCACCACCAAGAGCTTGATTTTGGAATAATGTCTGTTGCACTTTCAAGTAAATATATTGTATGTGGTAATAAAGTGAAGAAGTTATTGTGGATATGATGTAGAGAGTTTATCAATAATCCTTGAAGGAAAGGAAGAGGGATCACGATTTTTCAAGTTTAGTAATGAAATAATTTATGATAGAGCCGATGTGTTTTTGAGGTTGATGAATCTTAATAATTTATATTTTACCATCTTTTAAGTCGGTTCCGACAATTTGTAACATATTGTCATGCAGCAGAAGAGAGAAGTTGCCCTAATGATTTTTTTATTTGTCCAATCCTATTCCTCGAGGCGATATTGTGTGTAGAGTGTATCTCGGATTTTATTTATGACAGGTTCTTTGATGGTGTCAATTGTGTTTTGGTATGTAGTTACAGCTTGGAAACGCTACCGCATATACTTGAAAGCATCTTCGCTTGTGTTGAAAGAGGATTGATCAAAAAGGCCACGTGATATATTTCTGCTTTGTTAGCCAACCAGGAGCCTTCAAGCGCTTTGGATTGGAGGTTCAAGATCTTTATCTTTAAGAAATCTTTTTAGTCCGGTTTTGACTGTGCATTGTTTGTATTTTGTGTCTTTGTCCTGAACAGATTTGGATGTACAACGTTTTTGAAATTTACAACGACCGCTTGAATAATGCGAGTGATCGATCCCTTACAAGATGTTTCTAAAAATAGAGGCGGAGTAAATATTTACTTGGTTTTTTGGTTGTTCTTTGTTTATGTCCTCATTTGCTTTCTTTTAGCTGAAGATTCCGCATATGGTATATACATTTATTTCTAGATTTTTGTGGGGATATCTACTACGTCATTATACTTCGTCATCATATAAATTAAAATGCAACCAAACAAAAAGGATGGAATTCTTTTGAGAAAGTCGGGGGGTTTTTTTTAAGATTACTGCAACACTTTTTACATAGTTTATTGGGCGGTTAATGAACAAATAAATTAAACATTAATAATTAGTTTATGTATTGATATCAATTACGATTTATTAATCTTTCTTTCATTGGGAGTGTACAATCAACAGAAAAGTCTTTATTATTAACAACAAGTAACTTGCCGAGAAAGGTAAAGTTTCTATTTGTAATACAAATTCTTATTCGTTCGTTATTATTTGAATTATTCGTTTATTCAAATAGAAATTTCTTATAGAAATTTCCTAGTTGTTATTATTATAGTACGGTGTTTTGCGCATGTCAATAAGATGAAAATCGGATTTCGTTGTTATCAGAATTGTTATTGTTATATGTATATATATGTAATTAAATTTTATTGAGAAATTTTCAATTGTTACAATATCGTTGTTATTGTATAATTGTATTAATATTAATATGGAATAATTAGATTCAATTTTTCAATCAATATTCATTTTCTTTTACAGCGTTGTCAGTTTTTGTAATCAATACTCATAGCTTATACTCTTCTAACAGGTCCCGCAAATTATACAGGCTGCAGCTGGCTCAATTAAATTTTTTTATCAGTAAATATAATAGGGTCAAATTGTTTATTTAATTTTACGAACCATTAATAAGGCCAATTAATTTGGTGTTAGGGGGGACAAATTTGGTTAAAAGTTATTGAACTAAGTCATATCAAATAAAAATTTTGTTTGATTCCAGCCCAAATTATCAAGTAAAATATTACGTATCAATTTAATTCATTCACGAAAATTAAATCACAAATCATTTCTTTTTTCTAAAAATAAATTTTCTCTGTCAAATTTTTTCTTCTAATAAAAATTTAAAATGGTTGGAATTAAAAAGAATTCAGTGCTAAAATTTTTAGGATCCATATTTTAATAGTGAATTTTTATTCAATTGCTGACTAATAATATGAAAAATTATAAGGCCAAAAGGCTATTAATCTATCATGAAAATTCAAGGGCACAATGAAAATGATATATTTTGTCACGAGTGATCTGCAGATCTATAAAACTCACTGTATATAGTAAAATCTTTTATGAAACCTATAATTAAAATTTGGGTGGGATGTTTGAATATGAAGTTCTGATTGGTTAATTTGAATTTCACATATTAAAATGTGAATTGCAAACTTCATGTATATACAACAATATTAAAAAAAAAAACAATAAAATCGGTGAATTATTATAATCAATCGGTCAATTAAATCAATTAAATTGATTGTTAAAATTTAATTTCATAGGCAGTTTCAAAATTTTTAATGTCAATATATATTATGGTCAAATCAGATTCTTTTTTTTTAATATTATTGCAAATCTTAGGGCCAAGTTGTTTAAATAATATTGATTAAATAATTTAAATTCTTCTTCTACTAAATATAAAAAAGTAGTATATTAAATTTAATTTTGGTCTGGGTCATATAACAAACAGGAATTTTTGTTACTAACCCATGAAGTTTGTGGGGCCTCTTCTAGAAATTTTTAATTGAGAATAATCAAAATTAAGGATCTGCCCTTACTTTCATCAACATTCAATGTTACATGTGGCAGAGCCAATCCTTGAGATTTATGGACATGTATTCTTGAGAGAAAATTGTTTTCTTGATGCTCCCTTACCATAAATTTCGAAATAAGATGTTTCTTTTTGAATAATAACCTTGTTTGTGCTGGTCAAGGTAGGAAAGGGGTTCTCTTTATCACAAATTTTCATCACTATTCCAATAGTTCTATTGCATATGTTTTCATCAAATAGTTTATTATTAAGAAACATCACATGTGTACCTCATTGTAAATACAATACATTAAGGTAAGTTTGTCAAATTTTTGAATTAAGTGGTCATTTCAAATTCCAGTGTGTCTATGCATTCAGAAACTATTGGATAATTACATGTTTCATCAAAAGGGAGGTGTTTAAAGAATATTCGAGTACCAATTATATGTGTGGTATCATAGAAACTACAAAAGTCAGTTTCTTGGTTAATTTTCGCTTGGATCATTTGTTTGCCTCTAACAGACAAAATTCCTGTTCTTATCTCTTGGAGGATCATGTAAAACTCAATGTCATTTATCTGCCTTTGTGACATAATCAAGAACAGCGGGAAAATTTTTTCCGAGCTGGCGATCTAAAGACTTTGAGAAGGATGAACCGAGGAAGCTGAGCTAGATATTCTACAACAAGTGTTGGTATTCTCCAAAGATAAGATTGTTTTTATGAATTTTAGCAAAGATGTTGCTAAAAAATGTGAAAATGTCATTATCAACCATCAATATTCATAATTACAATTGCTTGATGGATCAGTTTGGTTTGGTTCAAGTTCAACTGAATCCTCAACTTGAACAAACTTAACTACTTTTTTTGAACCTGAACACATATATAACATTTGAGATCATGAACTTTAAGCCGAACTTGAACCAAACTCATGGGTATGTGGTTCAGGTTCAACCTAATAGATGTTTAGAAAAAAAATATTACAAGAAAATTTATACACGACAATTTGTTGTGAGAAGATGATACATTAGTACACAGTGAGTCTCGGTATAAAGGATATGTTTATTCTAGGAAATTTATCTGTTAAACCGAGTAAATCGAATTTTTTGATTAAATCATGTGATGCAAATAATAATAAAAATACAGTTGGTAAAACTTTGACATTATAATAATCTTCTATTCTTGTTTGCACTTGTTCTTGAGAATTTTTGTAAGAAATTTCGCTTTTTTAATCTTTTGACATTTCTAATTACTTGAAAATCAATATCTAAAATTTTTTGCTGTACATACTTAAGTGCGGTTTCCAGAGCTTTCATAGCTTCTATATTCGTGATCATTGGCTCAGGTTCATTTGTTTCATCATTGTCATCACCAACCTCACTTTGTCCTTTTACAATATTTACAATTTCATGTGTTGTCATTTCTTCTTAACAAAAGATTTTGGTCTTGAAAGGGAAGTTGAGTGATCAAACTGTTTTACATTTATGTTAATATTAATAATCGCGCGTCATTACTCTTATTAGCCCAAATAAAATAGTCAGGGAGATTTCCAAATTTGGAAGTTTTATTCTGAAATTCGAACATATTGAAACCCATTTTTTTAAAATTCATTGAATAATTCAACTTTACATTCTAGTTTTTTTTCTTACATATAGGGGACTATTGTCTAAAATTCCATTTATTTATTTATTTTTGTTTGACTATATGATTATGTTGGTGATTGCAAACACCAGACCGCCAGCTAATACTCTATCATGTTTACATTGCCGATTATTTACTTTGATTTATGCTTTACAAAATTTAAATGTAACAAATTCTCAATAGTTTATTCATTTTATTTAACTTTTATGGTTTTGATCATATTATAACAATTTATTTATATAAATTAAGATATTATTTATTAGTTTTTAATAACAAAAATAGAGAACCCTTATTAAACATAAGTTTAGAAGTTGTACGACTATTTTTTCAATACAGTTAATCCATGTAGATCGTAGATTGTTATCCATTTTTAAACTTCTATATATGGGATTTTATAAAAATAGCATGGCGGCATTTTGATGATAAATTTTAAAAAAGGAAAATTTCATTGACCCGAACGAAATACAAAATTTCGGTTATTTTTATTTTGATAAAAAAAATATCCAAAAAACGTCAATTAAATTTTTTCATACAAACGTTGTTCTATAAACAGAGTTTAATTCAGCAAGCAATTGAACTGTTATTCTTATAATGAAGTTTCAACTAAATCCTTGCATGTGGAATTTGTACTTTACTAAAGTAAAACATGGGTTGAATTGTTTAATTAGTCTATTTACCCAATATTTTAATCGATTATAAAAAAACGTACAAGTTCGCCAAGCAGATTTTTAATTTATTTAATGATAAGAAATAATGTACAAGTAAGAAAATATCCGCCCAGAACGTCAATTTATGTAAATTTTTATAAAAGTATGTCACCGACTTATATTTGGATCTAGAAGAAACTTACTCTTGTTGATAATTTCGCATTACAAAAAGGTTTTAGTTATAGGATTAGATGAAATGAATTTGAAGATGGTATGTTAATATGAATGCACGAAATCGGGTGAACGCAGCCACAAATTATAACAGATCCTATGAAATTCATTTCTAGTATGTTCATTGCATGTCAAATCGAATAGTGAGTGTGATGAAACTAATTTTTTTGTCAATGTACACAATCATTCTTTGAACATGATGGTGATGACAATGAAATTTCGAAAACTCATCCTGTGGTTAAAGAGAGCTTTGATTTACCCATTGTTGGTTAATTGCTGATTTATGAATGAGTCAAAAGATTTTATTGTGATGAATTTACTATACATTTTGGGAATTAGATAAGATTTTATTTTGATTTATAATTACTAAATTTAAAGCCTTTGCAGCAAGAATTATAAATGTAATCCTTAATATGTATAATAACTATAGAATTCCATCGCCTGTATTCTTATTCTGTTATTTTAATAATTCTTTGCGCCTAATCTTTTCATGTAACACGGGGAATTACCAAAATTTTATATTACTTTATGATCACGTGAAATCATGTGCGCATTTTATTATTATTATCATATGGAATGAGTTTGGGCAGTGCAGAAAATAAAACATTTATATCTAAGCTTGGGACAAGACATATGATGCACTTATGGAGATGATGCATTTATGATCAAGTTGGCTTATACCATAATGCTAAATTGCTGTAATTCACGAATTTTGACGGTACGATACATTAATCACATCAAAGTAAAAAATAAAAAATTTATAAATCAATATTTTTTTAAAAAAATAAGATGTGTCTCAAAAATTCAGGATTATGATAATCTATATTTTACAAACATTTATATAAATGCACATGTTCTTCAAACTTTTTAATAAACTCCTTCCTCCTCTTCAGTATTATCCTCATTGTACCTTATAAATAATATTTATGATTTGTTCTAATCTTACTACTACTACTGATATTTACAAATTTGTTTACATTTATAAATTAGAAGTATTTTTGTCTGTTCTTGTACATACATCTCAAACCCTTGAATTTATGGATTATGTGACATATTTAGGTATGAATGTATGTCATTTAAAATTTGGATTTTGTCGATTAATTCGTAAAATGAAATCAGAATTGTTTTTTTAAAAAAAAAAAAAAGCTTCAACAATGGGTTGTTACAAATATTTACTGCACAAGTCAAATTTTGATTTTTCGCCTGTGATAAGTTTAGTATTAGAGGCGCCAGGTTTATAAACAAAAAACTTTATTCAATTCTATAATAAAATTTAAAATTTTTATTTTATCAATTTACCAAATTCTTTGCCTTCTCTAAAATTTTCTCTAAAAAAAATATGATTATTATTCCTTACAGATGATTTGCTAACTTTATATTGATCTCTTGCAAAAAACTAATTGTTAATGAGAATCCTCCTACATTTGCAAGTAATACAAAATAACTTTGCATAATTTGCACAATGCTGATGGGTCAATTATTAATTGATAATATTAAAAAAAAGCTGCTTTGTTTCGGGATAAGGGTTATTCCGATATGAATTATTACTTTGAATAATAATTAGATAACAACAAAATCCTCTTCAAGATAAAAAAATTTTAAAAAAAAAAAAAAAAATAGTCAAAAATAATCCCCCCAATTTCGGAAAATGTAGAAGAAAATTCCATTTTTCCGCATTAAAAAAAAAAAAAAAAAGTTTTTTTTTTTAGCAAATTCCGTGTTGGTATTAATATGTACTTTGTTTACCCAGTATTTACGGAATTTGTTTTTTCTTTCCCCAAAGATACACTTTCATATATAAACTTACAGCATTAACTGGTTTCTCTAAATAAAACTTCTCGGACAAATTTCATTGTTTTTTACAGAAAACCTGTTTGACTCGATTAATCGTGTATTTAACTAGTAAATATTTACATATCGGCCTAGGAAGCTAGGATTTTGTTCCGTCATTCAGATATGATACATGGTAAAAAAAAAATAGTAAAAATATTTTGATAAGATATGATGATAAACATATGTTATTATCGTCTATTGATTGGTAGAACCAACCAACAGCTTATCAAAGAAACTATTTCATATGAATGATTTTATAATTTTAAAATAATGCGAGTTGATTTTCTAACAGCATCTTTTGTTGAATGGAGTAATGAACTCTGATGAATTAGAATGGACGAGATTTTGTATAATTAGAAAAAAAAAAATCGTTTTTTTTTAGAAACAAAATAGTGTCACACAATGTTAGATTATGCTACTAATAAATTACAAGGTATACATTCTTATTAGTGACTTTGATTTCAACTAAAACCCTTCATTCATCCAATTGTGCATCAGACTATCCAAATAATGGTTATAAATCAGTAAATCTTTTGAGGAATATATATATTTCACTTTGATTTTCTCGAAGTCTCTTTTCGTCGTGAGATCTTGGACGTGTGTGTGTATGTATGTATATATATATATATACCTTTTAATGTCACATTTTCGATTTATTCACATGTTCCAAGAAAAAATTTAAAGTAACCAGTAAATGAATTCAAATCAAAACTACATCTTTCGTTACTCAAGTAAGCATCACTTCGATGAAAAATCAATTTATATATGTAAATGTGTGAATGAGTAAGATATATGAATAGGAAAAACAATTGCTCTTACGCGAATGAAGTCACGGTGCAGTAATTATGGCATCATCCTAATATTATGTCCTTTGAATAATTCATTTCACGGCAAAAAAATGCAAGTTGAAGTTCCTCAAGAAAATTAATTATTTCATTTTTTATTATTTTTTATTATTCATAAGCCTATATGAAGAAAATTTTACAAAAAGTTTATTTATAGTTTATAGAAAATAGACTTGCTTAGACTTTCCCTGCAAGAATTCGAAAGTATTTATTTAAGACTTTCTTTCTTGTAAACGTTTTTCTAAGAAATTAAACCTTCTTGACATTTTTTTCATAGGATAGTTAGTAATAGAATAAGTCTAAATCTCAATCGTCGGTATTCACTCACAATCAACAAATTTCTAAATAAATAAACAAGGTCCTGGTTATTAAGAAAAAAATTACTTGTTCTAACCAAGTTTGGCTAATATGATTATCAAATAAAATCTTCTAAAGAGAACATCTTAAATTTCAAGATAAAATGGAACTTACTATATAAAAATGGGTTATCTTTCCGGTTATAAAAAATTCTCCAAAAACGCCTTATTGGTAAAAAAAAAATAGTAAAAATATTTTGATAAGATATGATGATAAACATATGTTATTATCGTCTATTGATTGGTAGAACCAACCAACAGCTTATCAAAGAAACTATTTCATATGAATGATTTTATAATTTTAAAATAATGCGAGTTGATTTTCTAACAGCATCTTTTGTTGAATGGAGTAATGAACTCTGATGAATTAGAATGGACGAGATTTTGTATAATTAGAAAAAAAAAAATCGTTTTTTTTTAGAAACAAAATAGTGTCACACAATGTTAGATTATGCTACTAATAAATTACAAGGTATACATTCTTATTAGTGACTTTGATTTCAACTAAAACCCTTCATTCATCCAATTGTGCATCAGACTATCCAAATAATGGTTATAAATCAGTAAATCTTTTGAGGAATATATATATTTCACTTTGATTTTCTCGAAGTCTCTTTTCGTCGTGAGATCTTGGACGTGTGTGTGTATGTATGTATATATATATATATACCTTTTAATGTCACATTTTCGATTTATTCACATGTTCCAAGAAAAAATTTAAAGTAACCAGTAAATGAATTCAAATCAAAACTACATCTTTCGTTACTCAAGTAAGCATCACTTCGATGAAAAATCAATTTATATATGTAAATGTGTGAATGAGTAAGATATATGAATAGGAAAAACAATTGCTCTTACGCGAATGAAGTCACGGTGCAGTAATTATGGCATCATCCTAATATTATGTCCTTTGAATAATTCATTTCACGGCAAAAAAATGCAAGTTGAAGTTCCTCAAGAAAATTAATTATTTCATTTTTTATTATTTTTTATTATTCATAAGCCTATATGAAGAAAATTTTACAAAAAGTTTATTTATAGTTTATAGAAAATAGACTTGCTTAGACTTTCCCTGCAAGAATTCGAAAGTATTTATTTAAGACTTTCTTTCTTGTAAACGTTTTTCTAAGAAATTAAACCTTCTTGACATTTTTTTCATAGGATAGTTAGTAATAGAATAAGTCTAAATCTCATGATACAAATACTTCTCCAAAATTCATAGTTGCCAATCTTAATAATGATGTCTAACAATATATGTATTATAATTTAATTTTTTGTAAAATTAATTAACATAATTAATAAATTTATATTGAAGGGGAGAATTTACCCATAATTCTTTTTCTGTAGCTCCAACTTCCCAAAATTCTTTATGATGATTAGCCATCTCATCTTCATTATATTTGAAATCTCATATGATAAACTTTTCTTCTCTACATTTATTTGCAAACTCTTCACTAACCCTTTTGTAAACAATCCATAATCACTATCTTCTGCAATTTTTCTACATAATATTTATAAATGTAAAAAATTTAATTGGTCATATAATATATATTTTATAGAATAACGTATTTTAAAACATAATATGTTCTTGACTTACTGAGAAGATTGCAGTACAATCATTTGAGTAATAGTTTCATATTTAGAGTACCATTCTTTATAAAGATTTCTAAATGATAATAATTTAATATAAAAAGTTTTTGATTTAACACATCATTAAATGCTACCAACATCCACAAAAGTATTACTTTCCAAGTATTCAGAATCTAAAACAAAATGTTCTTTTTTAACAAATAACAAACTACAAAATTTCCTCTAATAATTTAATTATTGAAATAAATTTAATTGATTAAAAATATATCTTTTATATTTTATATATTTAATCAACCAAACAATATAAATACATGTGTTTTTTCATTCCAGTACTTGTAAATTTTCTTTAATTTGATTATAGTGAGCAGATTTTGCTTTAATCAGATCCTCAATTGTTGTTATTTCCTAAAATAATATATAATAAAACAATAGTAATAACACTATTATTAATATTTATACAAACTACACATAAATATACAACATAGACTAACTTCTTTCAATTTTTCAGGTATTGCTGAAAGTGATTTATCAGCTCTGGTATTCCATTGAAAAGTTTTTAAATATTGATTGACCAATATTTTCTACAAAAATAAAGTAGGATAAATATAAAATATAATAGATTTGTATTGTTTTTCCTCTCTCCCAACGCCACCAACACTCAAAATCAAAATATATACTTACTATCATTTACCATTAAATTTGCTTCGACTTGATCAGTGTCTCCTTTCAATAGACTGCAAAGAATATCAACAATTCTCATTGTTACAGATTCAAATGATTGATCATTTTTGACAAATTCATCGGAAATCACCGCTAAATTATCAAATGTACTTATCTGGTAATTAATTACATATATATATTCACCCAATCCAATGATCTGCGATAGGATATACCTTGATTTTTGTGTCTCAAATGTTAAGGATCAACCTACAAAATTCCATTAATATTAACCAACCATCAGGACAAGAAATTTAATTTCATCCAATAAACCAATATAAATTAACATATTAATATATAGAAAGTTGCATTTAAATACAATCAAGTTTTCTGAACTTCATATAAACTTCATCCATTTACTAGAAATCTGGTTGATCATTTATTTCCATCTAATAAATTTTATTCATTTGTTAGAAATCAGAAACATCATGACTGGTCATTCATTTCCGCTGATATTTGTTAACTGACCAATGAGTTTGTTAGAAATCAGGAACATCATGACTAGAGCTTATTTATGAACTGGTTCGAACCAACTTGAATCATAGTCAAAAAATTATTTTGATTTAAATATTCAATGATTCAATTCGAACCATCAATGATTTGAATGATTTGAACCATCAGCAATTTGAACAATTCGTAACATTAACGATTTGAATGATTTGAATAAATTATATAAATTTAAATTTAAAACTTCAATGCATTTTTTTATTTAAGTTCATAATAAAAATTTTAACTTGAAAATTATTATGTGAAAGATTACATACATGTAGAGTTATTATGTTTAAACGTTTTCTCTCTTTTGTTGTTGGAACAAACTTTACGTTTAACAAACTCATAATGTTCACCTATTATAATGATCTCTAGCTCTCAACATTCTAGTTGATTTTGCATCTTTTTTTTTTGTGGCTGGTTAGAACTAATTAAAGCAGGCAAAGATTATGGGTACTGCTATTATAGTTTCCGATGTGGTAATTGAATCTGAATCCAATTGTATAGAAGGTCTGGGAAGTGAAAGGGCAGAAATAAAAATTGTCATCATAAAATCATGAAATTGAAATTTATAATTAAAATTTTGGGGTGGGGTGTTTGGATATGAAACTCTGATGGGGATTGGCTAATTTGAATTGACCAATAAGCTCTAATCATGACTGGTCATTCATTTCCTCAGAAATACCAATTATTTATGAATTTTACCCAATGGAATTTTGAAAAAACATTACTTCTTTTTTGTTTTTGTTTTGAAAAATGTATAAACAGCAATTTGAACAAAAAAACTCAAGAGCATTACTTTTGACATGAATAAGAACAAATATTCAGCTCAATTAAACGATAATGGACGTCTAGAAAGTTTCAAAGAATGATGTAAATAGCCAATGTTTTATTTTTTTGAAACATTTAAAATAAAAGCCTATTTGCTTAATATTATAATTTATATTAATATATATAATAATAATAGCTTTTTACGTAGAAATAGTTGAAAGCCAAACGAAAATGAAATTGCAAGAATAGATACCTGTAACAAAGATCAAAATTACAACAACGATAATGACATTAATATAATTAATAATTATGATGACAACAACAATAATGACAATAATAATAATAAATTATCAAAGAAATAAAAATATGATAATATAGAAAAGGTTGATGATAGTTTGCAAAAACTAATAGATCTATATATCAAGCTGGAAAAGCCTCCAAGTTCATGAAAATTTTAATGACGTCACTAAGTATAAAAAATTAAGAGAGGGCTTCTCAAGATATTATCTATGTTTCTGCTGACCTTTTAGTAAAATATTCTGTATTAAAGATCCTAGCTCGTTGAATTCTATACTGTTGTATATAAAGAACGTTTAAATCACAATTTAAAAAAACACGAGTTTCTTCTGTAATATCTTTCTTTTTTCTTCAAAATAAATGAATATATATTGTTAACATACTCATCTTTAGCATTTCTCAATTATTTTATTATTTTATTTGATCACATGCGCTGATTTTGTTTGACCCCCAAAATTCAGTACAGTATGATCATAATATTATGAATACTTTATACTAGCAAAAACCCATTGGTTTCGAGGTGGGCTCTTTGGTTTGACGGGTTGTTGAATAGTAAAGTGGTTTTTTTAGCGGAGCAAATAATTTTCTTTAGGGTTAATTATCATTCTACTGACCAGTTTACACATTAAAAATACTCGTGTTTAACATCAAGACACAATAAGACAGACATAAGGTTTGAAAAAAGGCCCAAAAAACTAAATCGGCTGATATGAATACTTGGAACCACCGCTCATTTTGATTATAATTGGATGATTGATGTGATATATTTCATAGTTACTTTCAAAATATTCATAAATTAGATGGATTGCTGAATTTTTCAATAGATTGGCAAATTATGTGGTCTGGCTCAACTAATTAAAGAACTATTCATATAAGCAATATCTAAATTCGTCAGAGGAATTCAAAAAGGTAAATAACTATGTTAAATTAACATTGTGAGCTAATGATGTATGATGAAACTTTTGACTTTAGCCATTGACATAACTAAAATATTGACTAAAGGCGGTTCTCACCGGGACCATTTTGACGAAAGTAAAACCATTTGACGTAAGTAAAACCATTTGACATAAGTAAAACCATTTGACGTAAGTAAAAACATTTGATATAAGCAAGCAATAATGATAATGATAAAGTAGAGAGTTATCAAAAGTTCCAACCATGTAAAAATATGTGTCCCGGGGATGAATAAAGAATTATTATATCATTGTATGTATATTGCAATGACGCAAGAAGAATAATTATCATGGGATTTGAATTAGAAATTTCACTTAATTAGGCTACTTATTTTTTCCATGTATTTTCTTTCAAAATAAAATTGCCTCTTCTTTTTTACAAATTAAAACCATTCTTTTATTATTAATTGACTTTACATACACATGAGTTGTATTAAATTGATAATAATGTGCTTGAGCTGTCTTTGGTGTCTGAGTTTGAAGCAACATAGGTTGATCAATATTTGTACTTAGAACGACCTTTACATATCACATAAAACAGGTTTTGGTAGATATTTTTGAGAATGTTGAATTTCTTTATTGATATATCTATCACTGGAGTTTGGTTATGAAGGAGTTGTTCTTTAAATAATGCAATTTTCGTTTTTCAATTTACATTCATCAAAAAAATTGTTGTACGAAAAATTGTTCGTTACACGTTATTCAATTCTCCAGAAAGAAAAGGGAAATAATGTAACCGTTATTATTATTATCTTTATATAATGCCATATAATTATTTGTTATCATATGGAAGACAAGGTTTTGTACATAAAATTGATCATGAAATGTATAATAATGCTTTTGTTAACTCTGACAGAGAAAGTAGAAAAGACTATTTTTTCTCATTAGTCAACAAAAACAAGGAGCTTTCTGAAAATGAAAAAGAATATTGTAAGGAAAAGTTTATTTATGAGTTAGAATTATATAATGCAGTGTATAAAAGGGGAAAACCAAAAGAATGTAACAAGTGTAAATTGACAAGATACTCTGATAGGTTCTGTGAAGGTTGTATTAGTTTACAATTACAGAGTCTTTTCACCACTTGGACATCTGGAAATAACATAGTTGATAACTTTATTCAACAATGTCAAAAGATTTCATCACTTCCAAGATTTATTTTAGAATGGATACCTTTTGAGCAATTTTATGATGTAACAAAGTTGACAGAAGGTGGATTTAGTTCAATTTATAAAGCTACATGGACAAGAGGAAAAATAATTGATTATGATGAAAATAAAAAGGAATTTAGTTATTTAGGAGGAGGGTATGGAGTAGTATTAAAAAGTTTAAATAATTCAAGTAATCCAGGAAAAGGCTTTTTTGATGAGGTTGATAGTTTTCATTTAAAATAAAATAAACAATTCTGTATTATATAATAAATACTAATTGATTTTATATTTAATTACAGGCAATGAATTATTGTAAAATTAAATCGTCACTGATTGTTAAATGCTATGGTATAACCAAATTCCCAGATAATGGAAATTATGCAATTGTTTTAAATTATGTTCCAGAAGGAACTTTAAGGGGTTATTTGCAAAAAAGTCATTTAACATTAAAAGACAGAATTACAATATTTTGTCATTTATGTGATGCATTAAATGATATACATCAAAAAGATTTAACTCATTGTGATTTACATAGTGGTAATATATTAATAAGTGAAGGTGTTTGTTATATTACAGATTTGGGATTATGTGGACCAGTTGATGAAAAATCATCAGATAAAGTCTATGGAATTGTATCATATGTTGCACCCGAAGTACTTAGAGGCAAAAAGAACACCAAAGAATCTGATATCTATAGTGTTGGGATGTTAATGTGGGAAATATTTGCAGGTCATCCACCATTTGACAATAGAGCTCACAATCATCGTTTGATTTTTGATATATGTGCAGAAGGTTTACGACCACCAATATTACCTGAAATGCCTGATGATTATGCACAAATGATGCAGAGGTGTTGGAATGTGGATCCATTAAAAAGACCAACTAGTAGAGAGCTTTGGGAATTTGCTAGAAATAAATGTAATGAAGTTTTTAAAAATAATGATGATAATAGTAATAATACTACTAGTAGTGGTGGTGGTAGTGCTTTGCAACAAGTACACGAATCACACCCAGGTGCATATCATAAAAGTAGAATCTTAGATGAAGAAATTGCTAAATCAAAAAGCTTAAAAATTTATACAAGTAATGATAGTTCGTTAAATAGTCTTGATTTTAGCTCTTTTCTCTTAAATGCTGAAGGTGAATAAAAAATTTCATTATTAATTAATTAATTGGAACTTACTATCCATTAATCATTACTGACAATATTTTATTTACATCTGATTTCATTAGATTCTAATAATTAAAAGAAAGAATCGATGGATGATTAATTTAATCTCCTAAATTATTTGTTATAATTATTTTTTTTTTTATTTTATCCATATGTGCTGATTTTGTATCAAATAGTAAAATAGTTTTTTTAGCGGAGCAAATAAATTTTTTGGAGGTTAATTATAATTCTATTGACCAGTTTACACATCATGTTTAACGTGTTTAATATTGAGACACAATAAGATATAAGGTTTGAACAAAGGATTCAAAAAACCAAATTGGCTGATATGTATTGAATTTGAGTTCTTCCAAGCCATAATAATAATAAATATTATTATTAATGTTAATATTAATATGATTTTGAACACAGT